AGCACCAGTAGTGGTTGGGGCTCTTCCCTCAGGCTCCGTTTTTAATAAGTTTTTAGTATTTTTGTTAATGTGAGGCATTGAGCTGTTGGGTTTTGTATATTATTTATATAGAGACCCCAGAGCTGTTGCACCCAATACACAGAGCTTCTTTGCAAAGGGAGTGTGTGAGTTCTGCATGGCCGGCAAGGGCGGGCTCTGGGCAGAGTGCTGGGGGCTGGACCAAGCAGGCAGAGCCTCCGTCCCCCTTCCGATCAACTCCCCTTAGTTTACCTTCCTTCCCCTCAGTTTCTAAATTACAGCTGGATTGCTACTCTTTCCTCTCCTCTCCAACCTGGCAACATTTTATACAGGTTTGGGCCGTTAGTTTCTTAAGAAGGGCAGCTTACCCTCTCCGCTAGATGTTGCGGGTTCCTTGTAGCTTCTCTCGACCAGGGATGTCTAGACCGCTGGGACGGGGGAGGGGCCGTGAGGCCGGAGGGGGAAAAGTCCGGGGAACCTGATTCTTCTCCCTGCCCATACCACACGCTGGGGCTTTGAACAGGCTTCGGGGTGGAGGGTGTGTCAGACACTGCCTCCCTTTTTTTTTTTTTTTTTGCCACCTCAAGTGCTCCCCGTCAGTCATGCACCAGGAGGCATCTTAAGAGAACTTTCCCTGAGAGTCACATTTCTGGGATGAAAACTGGCCCCCCATTGGCAAGTGCCCCCATCGAACTGGTGGTGGTGGAAGGACGGGTATGGTTCTAGGAGGAAGAGAGACCCCGTAAAAGAAAGGACCCCTTTTTTTCTCTCTCTCCGCTCTATTGCTGGAACCGTTGGTTTTCACATGACCCACCTTGGCAGTGACCCAGGATGAACTGTTGTTCCCTCCCAATTTACAGTAGAGAAAACTCCAAACTGTTGCTCCAGAGTCACATCTGGAACTGTGGCAGGGTCATTCGCGGCCCCTTTGCCTTCGGGTTTGGGGCCCTAGATCTAAGGCTACTCAGGAGAGCCAACTGGTTTACTACAAGGGAGTCTTCTGGTATGCCCAGCTGGGGCTGGAAGAGGACCAGCCTCAGCCTTGTGGGTGGGTGGAACCAGATGATTTGACAACTTCAGGGGAGCATCCAAGCCATAGTTGCACTGGGTCACTGGCAAGTGGCAAGTGTGCTGGTAAAACCAGGAGCACCGATCATCAATACCCAAGTTCTAAAAAATAAAAAAGAATAAATAAAACAGAATCCCGCTTCGAGGTCCATGGCGCCCTCGCTCATGTGCGACTCAGCAAGTTTCAGAGCCGTGTGCACAAGGAATGAAACTCCGGACATGGCCCGGGGAAGCCGTGACCGTGACCGAAGCTCGCTTCTGACCTGCTCTATCCTGACATAAACATTCTGAGGAACCGCAGGGTTAGGGGGCTCTGCTGGGGTAAGGGACACTCGGAGGGACTCGGGGTGGGGGGTAGGGGCTAAACAAACGGGACAGGTGCACTACAGAGGGCAACGTGAGACACAAAGACAGCGGGATCTGAAGGGGAGAGCCTGCAACCGTGGGGGCAACTGGCATGCCGACAGTCTCAGTCTGACATGCCCCAGCAGCAGCAGCGGCGGCGGAAAGGAACAACGTTGACCTTTGGGCGGGTGACAGGATGAGAGCCAAGTGCCCCCACCCTCCGCGGCTTGCTGCTTGAGTCGCGCGGGTGCTGAGGAGGGGAGAGGCGAGGGATGCTGAGCAAGCTGGAGGCTTGTCTTTTGTAGAGTATGACCTGGGGGAGGGGGCTCCTGCAGACGGTGCCTCAGTTTCTCCCTTTGTTTCAAGGTTTCAAGCTTTGCAGGTAAAGTTTGAGCTAGCTGCCGTGGAAGATCGCCTGTTTTGATTTGAGGGGTGTGTGTGTGAGAGGGAGAGAGGGTGAGCCGAGCGAGCGAGCGAGCGTGCTTGAGCATGGGAGGAATTGGGCCATGCCCCAGGACTTGAGCCATCTCTGGCACAAAAGGAGTTAATGGCAGGGACCGCGCCCCCCCGTGTCCGGGCACGCGCAGCGCGCCCCCTCGGTGCGCGGGCACAGCAGCCAGGCTGCCGGAGAGCAGATCTCGGGGATTCAGGTGCGGAGCCCTTGGCCTGGAGGCGATATGGGTGGTCCGCGGCCCGGTTCAGTCGCTCGCAACAGCCCGGGGAACAGGTGAGGCCGCCTGCCCCGGTCTCTCATCCTCTAGCTGCCCATACCTTGCCCCGATCCTATCCCCTCCCAATCCCGGGCTCCTCTGCTCCCCAGCCGATGCTCCCCATCCTTCCCAACCCCATGTTCTCCATCGGCACCCCTGACCCTCCAATCCTCCCCCGCTTCGCTTCTCTCTTCCACCCCCTCCCTGAATCCCGCATCCCTATCATCCTCCCACCCATCGTCCCTCTATTTCCACAGCCTGGCCGCATGCTCATCAAAATACCCCTACTAAGGGCCCCCGGCCCTATTCCTGTATTGCACATTGCCAGTCCCCCCTCCCCCGCAGTGCAGCCCCGTCCCTCTTCCATCATAGCATCTCACAGCCAGGCTCCCTCCCCCACTCTCTGCAGCCCCCCTCCCCCCCAGGCCTTTATCCTATCCTCCCCCATTCCAATGCAGATCTGTCCCCCAATACCATTCCGGACCCGCGTAGCCCCTAATACTGCAGTTCTCGATACCAGTCCATTCCTGCACAATGCCCCTCGCCCAAATACTGCTCCAGCCCCCAAAGTATCCCAGATGCCACTCTAATCCCCGGCATTGCCGCCTCCCCTTGTCTTCTCCCAAATTGCAAGTTGGACCAGGATGGAGATCTCGGCCTTGGGGACTCACAGTGGGCCCTAGGGTACAGAGGGCGTTTGGGGGTCGGCCGATTTGTCTAGGTGTTCCGGGGGGAGGGGCTGCAGGGAACTGACTCAAAGGGGACTGGCATTTGGCACTGAAGGGTTACTGGAGAGGGAGGCATCCCGAAGGGGTTAATGGAATTCGTGGGGAGGGGCGGTGCCGAGGGGGTTAATGGTGTGGGGGGGTTGCTGGCGGGGAAGCCGTGTGAATGAGCGGTCTGTGCCCCAGAGTTGCCATGGAGACGGTGAATGGGGGGATTGTGTGAACTCAGCTGCGGACTATCCCCCCCCATACACACACACACACACACACACACACACACACACACACACCCACTCCCTCCTGCCCCACCTCCCTACTCCTACCCCTTCCTTTCCCTTTCCTCTCCTCCCCACCCCACCCCGGGTGCATTCTGGGCAATGTCTGGGACCTAACCCCCCACCCTGTACTTTGCTCCCCATTTCCTCTGGGCCCCCACCCCTTTAGTCGCTTTGCCCGCCTGCCCTCTTTCTTCCCTCCCTCCCTTTCTCCTTCTCTCTCTCTAGCTCTCCCTTTCCTTCTATCTCTCTCGCCCTCCCTCTCCCTCCTTTTCCTTCCCTCTCCCTCCCTCTCTCTTCCTTGCTCTCTCTATCTCTTTCTCTCTCTCTCTCTCACACACACATTCTCATTCCCCTCTCGTGGTGGCCGATCGCCGGGCGTTCCCAATCTCCCTCCCCCACCCCTTCAGCCAGTTCTTAAAGGAGCAGGCCGGCAATCTTGGAAGGCGGGAGAAATAGGGAAAACTAAATTGTGTGTGTGTGTGTGTGTGTGTGTGTGTGTGTGTGTGTGTGTGTGTCCATGCAGCAGCGTCTGTGTGCGCCTGTATGTATGTGTTGGCTCTATAACGGTGTGTCAGAAAGCCTGTGTGTGTTGAGTGTGCTGCTATTTCTGATTCTGTCTCCACCTAGGTGTCACCATTATGCTGCATGTGTCTCTGGATGGTTACCTATGTGGTGTGTGTGTGTGATTATATTTCAGTAAGTCTCTGTTTGTGTCTCTGAATGTATTTCTCTGTGAGTCTCTGGCTCAGGGAGGCTCTCCGTCTCAGAATGTGGGACTATATGAGGGATCTCTGTGGGTTTGGGATATATGTCTCCCTGAGCGAATATCGCAGGGTCTGTGATCCTGGCTTGGTCTCTCTCGCTCCCTTTTTTGAGTCTTTGTGACTTTATCTCCATGAGTCCCTGAGTGTGTGTCCCCCACACTCCGTTGTTTATTTTACACTGGCTGAGCATCAACAATGCCTGGGGTCCTCTGCAGACGGGTCTCTGCCTCAGTTCTGGCACTCGGTGCGAATTAGAGACAGCCGACAGAAAGGACCAAGGCTTAAGAATTTGGGAGCAGTGAGGGCTGAGGAGAAATGTACAGGAGGGGCACAGGAGGGTCTGGGGGCTCTGGTGAATGGCCGTCCTGCCCTCCCCCCACCCCACCCTGGTGGACCGGTGAGGGTGAGGGGGTCTCCATGGGGGACGCTCTGCCTATCTGCTGCTTTTCCTGCTTATGCCTTTGAACCCCAGAGTGAGGTTAACAATCCCACCCTCTCCTGGTGTGGGTTTAGCGGGGCCAGGGGTCTAGAGAGTTCGCTGTTCGCGTCCAACATGCTCAGGGCCCTGAGCTCCTTCGCCAGCACTCCCCACCCCCCTGCGACTACGTGCCCCTCTGGCTCCGGGGCTGACCCCAGTGAGCTCCACTGGCTGAGGAGTCGGAGCTGGGGATGGGGCAACTTGCAGGGGCAACGACTGATCACTGGGTCGATCCCCTAGGATTTTCCAATCGTGGCCAGGTGCTCGCGGGCTGGTCCCTGGAGCCCCGGGCACTGAGACCTCTCCTACCTGTGGGAGAACAGCCCCCCCCCCCGTGCCCAGCAGGGCCCCCAAAGACCGCGACTGCTGAGCTGGCCCCGACCCCCCTAGATGACGCATACTTCCCTCTTTCCACAGGCCTGTCTGGCCCTGAGGGAGTCCCCTTTCTGAAGCTGTGGTGCCTGGACGACCTCTCTGCATTGCCGGGCACCTGTAGGTGTCCCTCGAGAGCTCAGTCTTGAGGTTCAAGTCAGTGTGGCCATGAAGGGGCTGCCTGTCGGGCTGATGCTGTGACCCTGGAGTCTGCCTTTCCTGCCAGTCCCCCTGCCCGGAACATGTGGCTGCGGCTTGGCCCGCCCTCGCTGTCCCTGAGCCCCAAGTCCACGATTGGCCGGAGCCTGTGCCTCACCCTGTGGTTCCTCAGCTTGGTGCTGAGGGCCAGTACCCAGGCCCCAGCGCCCACGGTCAATACTCACTTTGGGAAGCTAAGGGGTGCCCGGGTGCCACTGCCCAGTGAGATCCTGGGGCCTGTGGACCAGTACCTGGGGGTGCCCTACGCAGCTCCCCCCATCGGCGAGAAACGTTTCCTGCCCCCTGAGCCACCCCCATCCTGGTCGGGCATCCGGAACGCCACACACTTTCCCCCAGTGTGCCCCCAGAACATCCACACAGCTGTGCCCGAAGTCATGCTGCCCGTCTGGTTCACTGCCAACTTGGATATTGTCGCTACTTACATCCAGGAGCCCAACGAAGACTGCCTCTACCTGAATGTCTATGTGCCCACGGAGGATGGTGAGTGCTGCGGCCAGGCACCGTGCCCTCCCCGCCAACCCCGGCCCCTGCCCTGTGGTGTTTGTGGCTTGCATGTGGTTGTGCGCCCTGCAGCAGCATGCCTCCGTCCGTCCGTCCGTCCGTCCGTGAAGATGCTTCTAACCATCACTCTGCTTGGCCTCCCCCCACCTCCTCCCCTCCCCGTTCTTCCCTCCCCCAGCATTGTCTGAGCTCCCATGTGTGAGTGACACTGTTACCAGGAGGGGCCTGGCCAGGCCTGAGAGCTTTGACAGGTCTAGGGCCAGAGTGCTGGATGGGGGTTCCCTGGGGGAGAATGGGTCACTGCAGGCAGCCGCCCGCGGGAGGACGCTGGCTCCACCAGGCCCCCCTGTTGCCATCCTGCCTGCTTTGAAAGGTGGTAGGTGTGTGCGGCCAAGGGAGCTGGGCGCGTGCGGGGGGCGGGGGGGGCCAGCCTGGTGGGCATTGCTTAGGTGCCTCCTCTTTGGCTAGCCGCTGCCTCCTCCCGCGGGGCTCACACCAAGGTAAGTGACAGAAACAAGGAGATGGTGGGACAGGCTCTCTGCCATGTGCCACCTGCAGAGCAGCTCTTGGGGCCTGGGAGGGTGGGGGGTGCATGCCCCTGGGCAGAGGCCTCCTGTTATTTTTTAGTTTTTTATTCATTTTACAGTAAAGCGGATTTCCAAGGAATGCGCCCGAAAGCCCAACAAGAAAATTTGTAGGAAAGGAGGTAGGTAGCGAGCCGGCGGGGAGGGAGAGAGAGAGAGAGGGAGGGCTGCCTGCCCACCTGCCCTTGCCCCTGAGGACCCAGCCTTCCTTCAAGTAGCCCAGGCTCAGGGGGCGGTCGGTGAGCAGGCCTAAGCTCCACCTTAGCCAAGGGCCCTGGCTGCTCGTCAGGGAGGATTCGGTGGCCTAAGGCAGGTTCAGAGCAGAAGCTGCAACAACCCCATTTCTTCCGCTCTTCCCAGCCCCGGATTCCACACTAACATATGTGCCAAAGATAGCCAGCGGTTCTCTCTTGAGCCACCTGCGGGGGCGGGGGGCGGGGGGGGGGCTCTAGGCGGCGCGGGGGGGGCCCGGGGGGCTGTCCCCTTTTTGGGGGGGGGGGGGGGGGGCGCGGGGAGCCACCAGCTCATCCCTCCGTGCTCTTCCCTGGGTGCGAAGTCTAGACTCAACTCTCCGGCCCTGAAGTCACCCTGCCAACCGCCCCCACCCCTTCTGGCCGGAGCATAGCTGTGTAACCCGAACCCCTCCCCGCCCCCCCACCCCGCCCCCGGCCCCGGCTAGTCCGGTGGCAGACCTCGGGGGTCTCAGAAACACAGACTCTACAGGAGGCACGAGATCCTGAATTTTGCATTTACCCTCTTGCTGGGAGGAATGTGCTCCCCCTGTAGAAATAATTCTTCCTATTCGAATAGCGCACGTCATGTTTTTCTGCAAAGCGCTTTCATACTTAGCTCGTAAAATCCTCCCCATGTCTCTGGAAGCTTGTAAGGCAGGAATCAGTTTCCCAATTTTACCGATGAGGAAACAGGCCCAGGGGAGTGACTTGCTGCTGCTCGAGGCCCTGTCACTGATCTGTGGCAGAGCTGGGACCCAAACCCGGGTCTCTTGACCCTCAGGGCCATGTTCTTTCCACTGTAGCACGTGTACGTTGAGGCAGCTCCCATCTGGTCATTCCCACCTCCCCGACTCTGAAAACAATGGTGAAACGTGGATGGGCTGGGCCAAATTGGAAACAGTAACAGCTTAAGGAACAGGTGGAAAATCACAGCCTGATCCCCACAACCTTTTGGCAAGCTCGGAGTTTGTTTTCCTTTGAAATCCTAGGGCAGGGTTCCCCCACCCCCACCCCCAGCCCCGGCCCCCTACCCCAGTGGGGCTGTCAGGATTCCTGGGCCCGGATGCTCCCTGCTGAGCAGGAATCTCTGGGGGCAGATTCTGGGAATCCACATGTTGAGCGTGTGCGCGCACCCGCGCGCCAGGCGTTGAGTGCTCTTGACGCACCCTGGAGCGCCGAGTGGGGCCTGCTGCTCTAGGGACAGTGTTCGGCCACATCCCCACGCCCAGCCCAGGACCTCACACCCAGTAGGCGATCACCAAACGCTTTTTCCCCGCACAAGTGAAGAAGCACTGTAGCATTGCAAAAAGAGTGCTGGGCTGGGAGCCACAAAGCCGGGCTGAGCCCCAGCTCTCCTGCTAAATCACAGTGAGACTTTAGGCAAGTCTTTTCCTGGAGGGACCTCTGCTTCCGCCTCCGAAGGTGGTAGGGGGACCATTCGGGCCTTAACATTCCACTAGCCTGTGAATGAATTCAGGAAGAGGGTCTCTTAAACCTGCTCCCATGGGTTACTTGCTTGGGTGGGGGGTGGGGTGGGGGTCCGGGGAGAGAGGATGATGTGAACATTAACCATTAACCGTTCGAGGAATGATCTCCCCAGGGTGCCAGTGAGAGCCCAGGGCCATCCAGTCCTGAGAGGTTGGCTAGAGAGCTGACTGGAAGCTCCAGTCGAGTGCAAACATTTACCCATCAGGACCATTGACTGTGGGCAAGGCCATGGGCTAGGCGCCACGGGCTAGGCGCCGTGGGCTAGGCGCTGTTGGGCTGTGGAGGGCTAGGAGGTAGGGGCAAGGTTTAGACGTAACGAAAGGCTTCATCACTACTCTGACGAAGCTTCTATCCTAGGATTGAAACCCAGCCGGTTCAGCTAAGCCCCACAGGCCAAGCTGGGAAGTGAGTTCCAGACAGCGTGGGGGAGGGCATTTGGTCATTTCGCTGCTCAAATTAGTTCCCTATCCAGGGCCCGCTGTGGCCATTTGGAACGGAATTTACAGACCCCGCTTCTTGGGGGAGAGACATCCGCAGAGGTCATTAGGCTTGTGGTGTGCATAGTGTAGGCAGGATGGGCCCGGCTGAGACCCCGTGGCAGCCCAGTGTTGGGACAGGGGGATGGTTGGTGGAGCTGGCCAGGGTGACAGGCATGACAAGGAGTTGTTCTGCAAGTGCTAAGCTGAAGGAGCGAAGGCATCTGTGCAGAGCAGGCTGGGACGATGCAGCAACCCCAGGGATGCTTCTGGCGGGGCGGGCGGGTGGGGGGGGCGGGCGGGGGGGGACAATAGGCCCCACCTTCTAAGTCGGTGCCCATTGGAAGTGAGGGATTTCTGGCGGGGGTGGGGGGGAGGACCTGCCCCCTCCCCCCACTTCTGCCTCCATCAGGTTGGAGGGAATTCATGCTTCGGGATGAGTAAGTCCCTTCCGCTTGGGGGGCTGTCCGCTGTGTGGGTGATGATGCGCGGTGCCCCACAGGGTGTCTGAGCGCAGTCCTGGCAGGTGTTAAGACGGTAGGTGCCACTGGAAGTTCGGGAAGCTGCAGGCCATTTCTGCCCCTTGGGGCCCTGGCTCTTGCCCTAGTTGAAAAGCCATTTTGTAATATGAAGGCGGTTCCTGTTTTGATTAATAGCTGTAAGGGAATTCAGTCACCAGAGCCCGGACCAGCTGGGAAAGAGGGCTATCTGCTGCCTCCAGGCTGAGAGTATCTGGTGTCACAGACAAGAGGGTAAGCCCTGGGGTGCTGGCAGAACGACCTCTGTCTCTCCACTCTGCCCAGCATCCAGGCAGTAGGTCCTTTCTCCACAGCCGTGCTCAAGATGCACTTCTCATCTCCTTAGAACAGGAAGGAGAGTTGGTGCCAACTTACCCACAGGTCCTAAGTGTCTCTCTTCTCTCCTCTGGGCCCTTCTTTTCTCTCCTTCCCTTCCGTCCCCTCTCCCCGTCCCCCACGCTCCACCTCTTTTCTCGCTGATTTTTTCCTTCCCTCTCCCCCATCCCCAGAAAGGTGGCATGGTGCAGTGGAAAGACCATGGGCTTTGGAGTCGAGCAGACCTGGGTTTGAATCTTACCTCTAGGGCTTCCCTAGCTGTGTGATCTTGAGCAAGTCACTTTACCTCTCTGAACCTCAGTTTCCCCATCAGTGAAACCGGAATAGAAACAGTACCTACCTCATTGGGGTGTGAGGATCAAACAGTATGGCAGAAGTAGAGGGTCTGGCACACGGTAAATATTCGGTCTATGGTAGGAGCTGTTATCATTATTCCTCTGTCTCCCTCTCTCTCTCTCTCTCCATCTCTCTCATGTCCCTCTCTCCTTCCCCCGTTCCTCCTTTCCCTCCCTCCCTCTCTGGCTCTCTCTAGATCTCAGAGCACTGCTTGCTGCTCTTAGGCCTGGGTCCTGTTCACAGGAACCCCATTTGCTGTTAGCCAGAGCAGGGGGCCCCGACGAGGAAGACCAGAGGGAAAGCTTCATCTCCCATTTCCTCCTCTGGGAATCAGGGTCAGCTGAGGCCCAGCTTGAGCCCATCCACCGGGCCCAGGTAGCCGAGGGCTGGGGGCCCCAGGACCCGACTCTGCCCTAATAGCTCGCATCCGTATCCAACATTCTGGCCACCTGTCACCCTCAGCGCCTGTCCCTGCTCTCCAGCTCAGCCTGCCTGTGTACACACGCACAGCCCCTGCCCCCCGGGAGAAATCCTTTCCCTGAGTGGGTCTCTGGCTCTCTGCCCTGGCCCGTATGCTGCTCCCGCCTTCCTAACTGGGAAGGTAGTTGGTTGAGACGGGCTGCTGGGGACAGGGAGGCGGGGTAGGGAGGCAGCAGGGAGACCAGCGCGGCAGGGGCCTGCAACACCATCATCCTGATGAAGGTCTGGGCCTCAGCCCACCCATTCCCTCGGTTCTTGCCATCCCTCCTGCCTGTCCTGGGCCCAAGCCCAGAGCTGGCTTGCAGGGCCACACTGCAGTCATGCTGTTTTTGAATTCTCTCTCTGTTTTGTTCTCTGTTCTGTGCTGTTGTGTCTCCCCGTGTCTGGTCCCCAGGATCCGGCGCTAAGAAACAGGGCGAGGACTTAGCGGATAATGACGGGGATGAAGATGAAGGTATTTGGGGGCTGCAGGGCGCGGCGGCTGGTGCATGGCACAGAGCCCCTCCCCCTCTTGATGGGGAGAAGCCCCGTCTGTCTGTCTGTCCGTCCGTTGGTGTGTTTCTGTTCCTATACGAGGCTGTTGGGCTGCTCATCCATCTTTGGCCCGGTTGGCCGCTGGGAGGTCCAAGGTGATGGACACGGCTGGCTGGCGGGAGCAGGGGACCACAAGCAGGGCCATGGGGAGGGCGGCCTCCTCGCCCCGGTCCCCTATCCCCGTCCTCAGTCCCACAGCACAGAAGCGGGCACTGCCAGAGACAGCTTCCTCCTCCCCCATCTTCCGTGGCTCACGGGCACCTGCCCCTACTGATCAGCAGGGAGAGCGGAGAGAAAGCAGGGCAGAGGAAGGGCGGGGAGAGGCGAAAAGGAGACCGGATGGCGAGGACATAACCTGGGTTTCACTGCGGAGACACCTGTGTTTTGCGGGGAGACTGGCTCCTGGGAGAGGGGCCCGGCAGGATGTTGAGCTGAGGAGCGAGGCAGTGACAACCAAAGGGGCCGGAGATTAGTACCATCTAGAATCCCCACCCACCTACCCACCCCGGCCTCCTCCCAGAAAAAGAGACATGGCCTCGGGGCCACGGGCTGCAATAGGCTCAGGACAGGGCCAGGAAGGCCGTGGGCTAAAATGCCAGGCTGAGGCTGGGACGCCACAGCCCAGTCAGTAGATGGCATAAGATCCTTGCGTGATGGTTGAACCGGTCTGCCTTCCTCCTTGGGAAAACAGGTTGTGTTTGCTTGGCAGCAGAGAGCATTCCCTTCTACCTCCCTGCCCTGGCCCTGCCCCTCCACCCCTGGAGGAGCCAAACAGCTGGGGGGGGGGGGGCGGTCCGCTGGTGGCTGGTAGGGCCGTGCTGTTGTGGCAGAGTGTTGGTCCAGCTCACACTGAGAGGCTGCAGGTCAAAGTGGTCAGGCCGGGAGCCTTCTCTTGACTGCCCAGCCCCAACGCCACGCCACCGCTGTGCTGCCTGGGCTTGGGAGCAGCCGCTTGAAGGTCTCTCACTGAATGGCCTCTGGGGAGGCTCCATCTTCATCCTAATGCTGATGGGGGAGGGCGGTGGGGAGAGGGGCGGCGGGGCAGGGCAGGGAGGGGGTCTCTCTCATTCTTAGTTCTGCCCCTCTCCTCTCTCCCATCCCCAGTGCTTCCAGTTAAGTCTGCCTGACGCCCCGGGGGACAATGGGGTAAATGAGCACATGGCTGAGAAACCATGTCACTAAGGTTCCCTCCACCCCATCGCTGCCATTCACTCCCTTTTACCCACACCCTTCCTTGTTCTCTCCCTGTGCCACCCCTTCTTCCCACCCCTCTTGTCTCTGTCTGCACTGGGGGGCCGGCTGCTGCCAATGGCCGTATTTCCATGTAACTGGTCTAGTCTTGGGGGTTTCAGGGCTTCCCAGCCCCTGCTCTCGGAAGCCATGGCAGGTCCCAGGACTCCCGGGTGCCCCGGGGCAGGGACTCACTTGAGCCAGCTAGGAGACCAGCCCTGCCTCTTCTCCCCCCACCGCTCCCCGTCCCCAGGGGCCCAGCCGTGGCCTACCTAGGCCCAGCCGTAGCAGGCGTGGCTGACTGCCCTCAGCTGGGAGGCTGGAACCAGCGTCTTTAAAACCGTCGCCGAAGTCCACCTCCGGCCAAGTCTCTGGCCGATGCTCGGGTTCCAGGCCGAGCGGCCCCATGAGTCCTGCCCTCAGAGTTGGCGGTGGTGTCCTGGCACCTGGGATAGCTTTGCCGCCCACACCCCCCCCCCAGGGCTGGCGGGGGTGGGGGAGGAAGGGCATCCTACCCAGCCTTTGTCTCACCCCTTCTCCTTGCAGACATCCGGGACAGTGGCGCTAAGCCCGTCATGGTCTACATCCATGGAGGCTCTTACATGGAAGGGACGGGCAACATGATTGACGGCAGCGTCCTCGCCAGCTATGGCAACGTCATCGTCATCACCCTCAACTATCGGGTTGGGGTGCTAGGTATGGTTCTCTGCTAGCTGCCTTGAAGGAAGCCTGGGTTCTCAAGGAAGGAGGAGAGAATGCTGGGGATTTAATGCTGGCCTCGGGTCCCGAGCGGGTGCCAACGACCAGAGTCAAATGGTGGTATCACACAGTCCCTACCCAAGTGCTGGGAGCTTCCCCATGTCCCTCGGCCCTTTCCAGAATGTTTAGCTGCCACTGGAAATTCAATTCAACCTCCACACTTTCTCTTGTCTCAAGCCAGGTCGCTGCTTTTTCAGACCGTTGCTTGGCTGAGCTTCACAGGGTCTGTGAACTTTCTAGTGTCCTTCCCCCAACCCTACCCACCCAGGCCCACATCCCTAAAAGCCCCACACATACACAGATACTCCTTCTAGTCAGTCGCATATCCACACGCTTACATACCCTCACATGTCCACACATCCACACCGCCCACCGCCCACCCCAATGCATACGATTAATTCTCACTCACCCCACAAAGACACACATACACCCGTGCACAGAGACCCCCACATCCACATCTACAGGCCGCCTCTCACATACACACATTCCCCCACCACTCCATAAACACTCCACACATACAGGGTTCCCCTCACACATATCCACATACCATATGCCTCTGTCCACTCCACATCCATACCCTGTATGGTCACAGATCTCTCGGACTCCCCCCTCATTCCCGTATATCTCTCCCTCCACAGCTACACCCATACACTCTACACTTCCTTCTACCCCCATGTATATGCTCTACACAAAGACCCACACCCTTCACATCCACATCTACGCACAAATCCCACATGCGTATACCTTGAATGTACATAAATATTCCCTCCACGTATACACGCACATACCCTCATCCCCCTGTGCATCCCACTTCTACATCCACTCGAACACCCACACGCACACATATGTCCCTCACCTCCCCCACCTAAACGCAAACCAATATTCCCCCTCCCTACGCATACATACCCACCTCCTCATGCCACACATCCACAGATACTACCCACACCCCCCCTCATATCCCTGCTTCCACGTCTCCATACACGTCCCAGGCCCTTACATATCTCTCCACCATGTGCACACACTCATAGACCTCCCACATTCCCATGTATACACACAAGCACGCACGCACGCACATAGACGCTCCGCCCGTACGTACCCTGCATGTATACGTGCAATACACATATGTACGTATTCCCTCACCCACCCTACCCGACAAACACATACACACCCATGTACCCCCGTTTGGCCTCCAGATCCATGCACGTGCGCACACCTGTCCTCAGCCCCACCCGTGTGCACACCCCACGCTTGCAGACCCCGTATATACACACATACGCATTTCTACTACTCTCTCCACGCCTACATCCCCCTGTACTCCCACCTCATCATACAAACGCACTCCCACACACACACTTCCTTCCCAAATGCCTCCTCATTTGCACCCCTGGGCCCTGCCCCCCACATCCTCTGCCGCCGGCCCTCCGGTTTTGGTGATGTAGGCTGCCCCTCTGTGCTGTCTCTTCCTTGCTGTTACTGCCCACCCGCGGCCAGGGTCCTGAGGCAGACAAGTACCTCCGACAGGGTCTTGCTCCCTATCAGACGTTCACCCAGGCCTCCGAGGGCACGTGCAGCCGCGCAGCCCTGTAATGGTGGGAGGGAGACAACTCCTTGCCTGAAGCGCTGCTGTCTTCCAAGTTCCAGTGGGGGCCTAGGCCGTGCATCAGGTCTGGAGGCCTGGGTGCCGGACCAGCCGCGGCATGACCTCTTCCCTGGCCACTTGGCTGACACGACCTGATTTTAATTTGCTTCGGACTGTATCGTTGTTGCCGGTTCTAATCCCAGAGGGCCCGGGGCTGTGCGTCACTTCTGGTAGAGTTCATGAGCCCTGAAAGGCAACCTTTTCTTGACTGACCCTTGACACTCGGTGGGCTAGCAAGACACCTTTTTGGGGTTCAGACTGGAGAAATGATATTCCCTGAAAACAGTGGAGCCCGTGTGCCTTCGAGTGGCCTCTGGATCCCGGGGATGAGGCACGCAAGGCGTCTCCCTTGGTCTCTCGGCGGTCTGGTGGGCTTGGCTGTCATGGTTCGGCCGCTCTGCTCCTCCGTCTTCCCAAGTTGCCCCAGACATCCAGGAGAGGCTCTCTTGAGTGTTCTGTCCTGTTGAGGAAGGGGGATCTGAGTCTCTGACAGTAAAGGGGAAGTGAAGGTGGCTATTGAGCCACACGCAAGGGCTGCACAGTTCCTGGAGAGTCCGGAATTTCCAGAAGTAAGCTCACACAGATGTCCAGCCACGCCCACACAGTAGTTGAAGGCCAGAACGAGTTTTGCCACCTTATTTTCTTAGTGAGAGTGATAGAAAATGTTCAACTCGGCTGCTTTTAAAAATTAGACACACAGAGCGCCATTCTGTCGGTTTTATTGGGAAGCACAGAGAGTACAAAGAATGTGCCTCGGTTCTTTTTTTTTTTTTTTAAGGTTTTATTTATTTATTTGAGAGAGAGAGAATGAGATAGAGAGCACGAGAGGGAAGAGGGTCAGAGGGAGAAGCAGACTCCCTGCTGAGCAGGGAGCCCGATGTGGGACTCGATCCCGGGACTCCAGGATCATGACCTGAGCCGAAGGCAGTGGCTTAACCAACTGAGCCACCCAGGCGCCCGTGCCTCGGTTCTGTATGATTGGACCCGACCAGCTAGGGGATGCAGGAAAAGAAAGAGTGGAGGAGCGGGGCGGGGGGGGGGGGCGGGCAGGAACTGAGGAAGAGAAGAAAAGGACGGGGGGAGAGAAAAGAGGACAAGAGTGACACCGAGCAAGGCGACAGGAAGGAGAGATTCAGGATTTGAAGCGTCACTCGACAGCTGGGGGCTGCGCGGGGCCTGTCGCCGGTGAGTGCTCCCTATGGTGTCCTGGTTTGCAGATTACTTGACAACCCTCCCGCTTCTCTACTCTCGAAGCTTCTACATCAGGAGTTCCTAACTTTTGGGGGCGTCTTGGACCCCTTTTGAGGTTCTAACAAAAGCTATGGACTCTCCCCCCCCCCGGGGGGGGAACGTGCACACACATACACAAACCTATAGAAATGGTTCCAAGGACCCCACCAAAACTCATCCGGGGAAACTCTGGTTAAGAACACGCCCCCCCCCACTTTACAACCCCCTCTCATTCGGACAACCAGAACAGCACATCTGGGGGCACGTATAGCATTCTTGGGGCCTTCAGCTGTTAATGATCAACATAATATGACCCAAACCTCGGAAGGAGTCACAAACTGAGATTTGGTCCGAAGTTTCCCCACCACTTCCTGTGTCTCCTTCACAGCCTGCTCTGCAACACAGATGTAATCAATAAGCCACTGATTGGATTCTGGGTACATACAAGATGTTTCTGTCTCTCGGTGCCAGATGTAGAACTTAGGCCTGTCCCTGACACTTGGGGATTTTGTTGTGTAGCTGAGACTTGGGTGTTTTGTGTCTTCAAGCATCCCTGATCCGGCGGGCCGGTTTGGGACCCCCAACTGCACGCACGCATTCACCCTCCCTTCAGCTTCTCTGGAAGCACTGAGCCCAGAAGGATGCTTTACTCTGAGGTGCTTCTTTGGACATCTCGGGTGATTCATCTATATGGAGACTGTCACAGGCCGGTCCAGGGATCCCATCTAATTATTTGAGGAGCCCCCAGGGGGCTCGAGACCAGCACAAGAAAGGGACCCCATGTGGATATCCCTGGGGCTGAGGAAGTAGGGGCTTGCCAGGTTTTAGTCTGGGTTCCAGAATCTAATCATACATCTCTGTTCGGGTACCCTTCGGGCAAAGCGAAAACCTGGTAAATGTCAAGCCTTGAGGGACAGAGATACGTGGTTTGGGTACGATGTGCCGGGTTCCCTCATCCTCTGCTGACAGGCGGCTTACCATGGACTGCAGTGTCAACCTGGGGCCCAGGGAGACGGTCTCAGATTTATTCTGACAGTTTATGGAGTGCGTGGTGTTTCAGCGCTCCTTCTCGCGTGGCTTCTGTGGAGGGCTGAGTTACTGGGGACCTAGCAGCGAGCCACTTGCTCTCCCACACCGCCAGGCTTTGCGTGCTCACGGTTGGGCACGTTTGCTGGATCATCTGCCTCAGCCCCGTGGATGTAGCACTTCACCCAGGACTCTTGTAGTGGAGATGGTTGACGTGGCATCATCCGCATGCTCCGGCGCCTCTCATCCCGGGGTTGGTGGGAGCCAAGGGAGCAGAAACGGATGGTTGGCTCCTCCACCCAGCCCTGTCAGGCCTTTGTTCCCAACCCAGGGAATCGAGACACGCTGGCGAAATCTACTTTACTCCATTCAAAGAGCGGGCTCTTCCCGCTGGTAGGACAGATGCACTGACACATTTCACGGAACGCTACCTCGAGCCGAGGCTGAAGCCAAGTCCACCGAGGCTTAAATAAGAGGACAAGGAAAGAAAATATGGAGGAAGGAGAAAGACAGGGAGAGAGGACAGGAGGGCTAAGAGAAGCACAGAGTGGTTCTTGCCGGAGGGTCTCGGGCTTGGACAGCTAGGTTGGATCTTGGTCAGCAGACTTTTTACGACTCCCAGCAGCGGCTTCGGTGTGCGAATGGTCCAGGCAGAGGAGAAGCTGGTTCCCTTGTCTGGAGGAACAAGGGCTCCTCCGTTCATCCTCATTCAGGCTTTCTCTAATTCCTTCACGTTTCCTCGCTGGGAACCTGGGGCTAAAGAGGGCTTGTGACTAGGCCCTGAGAGGAATAACTAAGTACTTTACATCCTTAATTGTACCATATGTAAATTAATAACGCCCTTGAAGAGGGTGAAATGAGCTCTTTCGCAGAAGCTAGAAACACGAGGACCCGAGAAAGACAGGGATGAGGTCTTGCGCCTGCTTGAGTCTATTTGAATTCAGCCTCTGTCCATGGCCTGCCAGGACCACCAGGGAGCTCCCTGTGAGCTGAGGAGGGGGGGCTCCTCAAACGTGGCCTCTCGCAAAGTTGATCCCAGGTGCTGCAAAGGGAGCTTTTAAACAGGGAGTCCAAAAAGACCGATCCAGGTATAGGGTGTCCACAACTACCCACCTGGAAAGAACCCTTCCAAAAGCCTAGGGCAGGAGAAGATAGAGCCTTCCAGGGAGCCCAGGGATCAAGGAAGAGAGAGGAAATGAGGCAGCACGATCAGTCTGAAATGGAAGCGGGGGGGGGGGGGGGATATAGGACATCTCTGTGGGATAGCCAGCAGGTGGGTGGGAAGGTAGTCTCCATGGCAACAAGTCTCCACAGCAGCAAATCCCAGCAGGTGGGTGGGAAGGTAGTCTCCATGGTGACATGTCTCCTCAGCAGCAAATCCCAGTGGGTGGGCGGGCGGGAAGACCTGTTTCTGTGGTAACACGCTGCACTGACTTCCCCATTTCTCCACCAGATGAAAAAGATGGTCTCACCCAGTGGTTTTCTAACTTTAGCAGGCCCCAGAGTCACCTGGAGAGCTTGTGAAAAACACACATTGCTGGGCCTCCTCCCCAGTTTCTGATTCATTAGGTCTTGGGAGGAGGGGAAATGAGAACCCGCCCTGAGAATGATGGGAGGGGCCACCTGAGGCCCTGGAACGAGGTGCAGATGGACTAACCCGTCCGGGAAGGGCCAAGCAGAGCTTAGGCATCCTTGCCTCTTGGGATCCTCACTTCCTTCGGAGAGAGGAGGAAGGGGAAAGAGAAGTAATTATAGACTTACAGAGTGCGGAGCGTATTAGGGATGCTTAGGTTCGTTTTATCCCGCCTACAACCCTTTGAAGTATTTTTACCTCCATTTTGCAGAAGAGGAAACTGTAGCCCAGATATTTTAAATAACTTGCCCAAGGCTATACGGCCAGTAAGTGGTAGAGCCAGGACACGAACCGAGGACCACCTGATTCCAGGGTCCCTGCTCGTTCCACTCTATCTCAAGGGGGGCTAGGGTAATGTCCTAGAGAGCACATCAGGGGCCCGGCCATCTGCAGTTCTTGCAGCTTAAGTCTCCCAGCTGGAGGCGTCCCCTCGAATAGTCTGGAGACCCCTCCCTCCACACTGGAGAATGGGGGTGGGAGGCAAGGAGCCGATCGATCCTTCCTACACTGATGGTGCTGGAGCTTGCAGAAAGGAGCAATAGTACATGGTAGCTAGGTGGAAAGAACCATGCTGCATGCCCCTCCTCTGTCCTCATGCCCCCTCCCTGTCTCCTGCCTGCCGTTATAACCCCGATCCCCCCCATCCCTCTGCCTTCACCATCCTCATGCCCTTTGTTGAATCCAGGTTTCCTCAGCACTGGCGATCAGGCTGCCAAGGGCAACTATGGGCTCCTTGACCAAATCCAGGCCCTCCGCTGGGTGAGCGAGAACATTGCCTTCTTTGGTGGCGATCCCCGCCGTATTACTGTCTTCGGCTCGGGCATCGGCGCATCCTGTGTCAGCCTCCTCACGCTGTCGCATCACTCTGAGGGTGAGTAGCACTTGGGGCAAAACCTCAACTAGCAAAGTGCCGGCTGCCCACCCTGAGCCTCAGGCCTCCCGGGGTTCAGAGTGCCCAGAGGAATCAGCCGGCTCTCTTCTATCAGCTTGGCATCCTTTTGGGGAGAAGTGGAATGGAAATGTTCCTCTCGGGGAAGAAGTCCTTCTCCCAGTGTGAGAGAGGGAAAGAGAGAATCCCGTTTCTCTCTTGAGAAAGTAAGATCCTCCTTCTGTGTGGGAGTCGGGTTTGGGTGAGTGCGAGGAGGATGTCTATCTGAAGGGACAGTGGGGTTTATTTTGGGGTGTTTTTTTGGTGTTTTTTGGGGGGGCAAGGGAAATCTGTCAGTTTGGGAAGGACATGTGACTTCAGGTTGGAGATCTAGAGTGGGAATTAGTTTTTAGGTGTAAGAAACACTCATTCTCTGCCTTTCTCTCCGAAGAACAAGTCTGTACAGGAGGGGAGCTGTCCTTAAGCGGAGAGATGGGTCTGAACAGTGAGGAAAGCTAACCTGTGGGGTGGGCTTTTTCTGAGGGGCGGCGATCCAGTAGCCCACACCAGACCTCCTCCTGGGCTGGGCAACCCCAAGGGAGACTCCCACTCTTAGCCCAGAGGAAAGCCTCTCTCCTTGCTCTGCTAGTGACTCTTCAAGCGAGCCAAACAGGCCCTTTTTGGCTCAGCAGGAAAAGTTCTCTTCACCTCTGGGCTGTAGAGCACATTCTACCTCTGAGAGGCAAAGACGAGCTTCTCATGAAGAAGAGATCTTCCTGAAATAAGTTCCTTTCCTCCCTCTGAAGGAAGGAAATCTGTGAGAGAGGACAAGGATTTTGTTGTTGTTGTTGTTGTTGTTGTTGTTGGAATCGACCCCGTGAGTGAGTGATATTCTCACAGGAAGACTCTCGGTCCCTGTTGGAATCGACCCCGTGAGTGAGTGATATTCTCACAGGAAGACTCTCGGTCCCTCTTTGAAGAAGACCTGTCTGTCTGAGAGCGAAAAATCACCTTCTCTGATCTCGACATTCTGCCCCTGTCCCTCCAGGGACAACCCCGATGAGGGAAGACCAGGGTGGGATCTGCATCACACCTTAGAATGTGTTTCTAGGTGACAGTAGTGGGAACAGGGATCCCTTTCTCCACAAAGGAAGGTGAGGTGACCGGCTGTGAGGGTGGCCCTGTCTGAAGCGAGGAATGGTGCCTCCTCTGATCCAGAACTATTTCCCTGGGAGGAGAAGGCCTTTCTTGGAGTGGTGCTACATTCTGTCTCCTGAGGGGCCTGGCTGCACTAAAGAGTTGTCCTCTCGGTCTTTCTGCAACTGATTCATGGAGAATCCCTTTTTGAAAAGGGGGGGTTCTCTCTTAAGTAGTGATCTATATATCTCTCCCTCTCTTTCTACCCATGCCAACTGCCTTTCTCTTAGAGGAAAGGAACCGTGTGCCTGAGGGCCAGATTATCCCTCGCTTGGGAATGTTGGGGCCAGGGAGAGCATGATACCCCCCTTTTCTTCCAGGGGTGGGGGGAAAGAATCATCCACTTTTTGAGTTTGGAGGACTGGCTCCATCTTGGGTAGGGGAGAAACTGAATCTGAGGCATCAATAGCTTCAGGAAAAGGAAAGTCTCTGTGGAGACTACATGCTGGGAGGGCACGTTCCCTGGAGACTTTGAGATCCCAAGGCCTTTGCCCTCAGGAATCTTTCCCCAGACTCCCAGAATGTGAGGCTCTCCCCTGCCTGTATTTCTCATCTCTCATGAAAAAGACCCCTTTGTGGTGGAAGCGCCAGCTCCCTGGTGGTGCGCTGGCACAGAGCTGGGCCCAGCTGGGCAGGAAGCAAGAAGGGAAGACAAGGAGAGATAAAGAGAGGGAGCATAAGGAAGCTGATGTCTGGGACCCAAGGGGTTAATTCTTGCTGGCATTTCCTTAACCCCCAAGTTACCAGCCCTCATCCCAGAATAAGGAAGCAAGAAGCAGGCAGGGGGTCAGTCAGCGCAGGGGCCCAGCAACCCCTCCTCTGGTCCTAATCCATCATCCAGCCGAAAGGTCTCGTCTTCCTTCATAGCTCATTGCACCCATAGGGCAGTGTCAGTGACAGAGGAGTGAGGGGGTGTTTAATTTGTCCCTCAGGGACAAGCAAGGGAGGCCTAGGCTGTGGGGGACATGGCAGATCTGACCTGGTGCCTCCTGTCTTCCGTAGGGCTTTTCCAGAGGGCCATCATCCAAAGTGGTTCTGCCCTGTCCAGCTGGGCTGTGAACTACCAGCCGGTGAAGTACACCAGCCTGTTGGCAGACAAGGTAGGCTGTAACGTACTAGACACGGTGGACATGGTGGACTGTCTTCGTCAAAAGAGTGCCAAGGAGCTGGTAGAGCAGGACATCCAGCCAGCCCGCTACCATGTGGCCTTTGGCCCTGTGATTGATGGTGATGTCATCCCTGATGACCCTGAGATTCTCATGGAGCAGGGCGAGTTCCTCAACTATGACATTATGCTAGGTGTCAACCAGGGCGAGGGGCTCAAGTTCGTGGAAGGGGTGGTGGACCCTGAGGATGGCGTCTCTGGCACTGACTTTGACTACTCAGTCTCCAACTTTGTGGACAATCTGTATGGCTATCCTGAGGGTAAGGACACCCTACGGGAGACCATCAAGTTCATGTACACAGACTGGGCAGACCGTGACAATCCAGAGACCCGCCGCAAAACGCTGGTGGCGCTTTTCACTGACCACCAGTGGGTGGAGCCCTCGGTGGTGACCGCTGATCTGCATGCCCGCTATGGCTCACCTACCTACTTCTACGCCTTCTACCATCACTGCCAGAGCCTCATGAAGCCTGCTTGGTCAGATGCAGCTCATGGGGACGAAGTACCTTACGTTTTTGGTGTCCCTATGGTAGGCCCCACTGACCTCTTCCCCTGCAATTTCTCCAAGAATGACGTTATGCTCAGTGCCGTCGTCATGACTTACTGGACCAACTTTGCCAAGACCGGGTAAGGAGAAAGTGGGGGTTGTTCTCCTTTGGGACCCCAGCATGCCTTCCCTTCTGCTCCTCTATCATTAAGCCTCTTCTGTCATCTCTTTTTTAAAAGATATTCCCCCAAGTTTTGCTTGCTAACCTCTTCACCCCCTCCTTCCTCCTTTTGAGTCTTTCGTGCCATTTCTTCCCTCCAAAATGTCACCAAGGCTCAGAACTCAGCTAACATTAGGACGGAGCAGCAGGGGGAGTTACTGGCAGAATGACAGGATTCAAGGTTAGATGGTCAGAGGCCGAGTGAAGTGGGAATAAAGTATATTCATAAAGAGCCTTTCAAGGGTTCTTGGAAAAACTGGGCAGCTGGAAAGATTGGTGGATGCTCGGTAGCACATGAGAAGAAAAAGCATCTATAGCATGACCTTACAGGATGGGCACAGGGAAGGATGAGACAGTTTCCATGATACAGTGGGCAATAGGAATTCAAGGCCCTGGGGAAGAGGAGGGGCATGGACAGAGAGAGGGACCCTGCAAAAGTTGGAAAGGTGGGAAGTTATAGACCAGGGAAGAAGTTCAGAAGTGGGTGTGAGAGGAGGCATTCTGGGCCCTTTGTGCACCTAGGTAGAGTGGTGACCCCGGATTTCCATGTGGTATTTCAGGGATCCCAACAAGCCGGTCCCCCAGGACACCAAGTTCATTCACACCAAGGCCAACCGCTTTGAGGAAGTGGCCTGGTCCAAATACAATCCCCGAGACCAGCTCTACCTTCACATCGGGCTGAAACCAAGGGTCCGCGATCATTACCGGGCCACCAAGGTGGCCTTCTGGAAACACTTGGTGCCCCACCTCTACAACCTGCATGACATGTTCCACTATACGTCAACAACCACCAAAGTGCCGCCCCCGGATACCACCCACAGCTCCCACATCACCCGCAGGCCCAACGGCAAGACCTGGAGCACCAAGCGGCCGGCCATCTCCCCTGCCTACAGCAATGAGAATGCCCAAGGGTCCTGGAACGGGGACCAGGATGCAGGGCCGCTCCTGGTGGAGAACCCTCGTGACTACTCCACTGAATTAAGTGTCACCATCGCTGTGGGGGCCTCCCTCCTATTCCTTAATGTTCTGGCCTTCGCCGCCCTCTACTACCGCAAGGACAAACGGCGCCAGGAGCCTCTGCGGCAGCCCAGCCCTCAGAGGGGAGCCGGGGCCCCCGAATTGGGAGCTGCTCCTGAGGAGGAGCTGGCAGCATTACAGCTGGGCCCCACCCACCACGAATGTGAGGCTGGTCCCCCCCACGACACATTGCGCCTCACTGCGCTACCCGACTACACGCTGACCCTGCGTCGCTCCCCTGATGACATCCCACTCATGACACCCAACACCATCACTATGATTCCCAACTCCCTGGTAGGGCTGCAGACATTGCACCCCTATAACACCTTTGCCGCAGGGTTCAACAGTACTGGGCTGCCCCACTCACACTCCACTACCCGGGTATAGCTCCAGCCCAGAGCACAGCCTCTCTCCTGGCTCCCTCCCTCCCAGATCCACGGACACACATGCACACAGACACACACAGACAGACAGACAGACACACACACACACACACACACACACACAGACACATACAGACATATATGTATACACACGCACCCACACCCGACAGCAGACCCACCTGCACAAACATAGACAGATGTGGACATGCACCCGCATGTACAAGAACACAAATAAAGAAGTAAACCTGAACAAACCCTTCAAATGGGGACGCAAGTGAGTCCTTGGGAAACCGAGGACCGGTGCAACAGCAGCTGAAGCCAGCTCCCTGAGCCTGATCACAGACACTCCTGGGGGCCCGAAAGCACCAGCTGGACACCCCCTTGGTGCTCACCTTCCGCCTCTCTTGGAACTGCACCACCCACCAACTCCAGACTTGGGAGCTTTACAGAGCAGAGTAGCTCTTTCTCCCCCAGACTTGGTCTTTTTTCTGGGTCTTGTTTTTGTTGATTTTTTAAAATAATTTTGGAACACATGCCTCTCCAACCCATGAGTGCAAAGAGGCTCCGGAAGGGAGGCTCCAGGCCCATGTCTGTCTGGCTCTGGCACCCCCAGGGCTAACACAATCCGGGCGAGGAACATGACCCCCAAGAAAGAAACAGATTCAAGCAAGACCATGGGGTGGAAGGAGGAAGGGGCTACCGCTGGATGGGGTTGGAGGGCCATAGGGGAGAACTCTCCAGCCACCTCTGTGTCCCTGTGGAGGGCTATAGAGACTGCAGGGTGACCTGCTTTCCCCTAAAGGCCAGGAACATCGGCCTGGCTAGACCAGGGGACCCTAGATTTGGTGAATGAGGTTCTGGTGGAGGCCGTTGTTATCAGGGCCCCTGGGTGTAATCTGGGTTCTGCCTCTGCCCTTGGGGTAATGGTATCAGAAATTTGCCCCATTTTCTTTACAGAGTCTCTTTTGTGTCTGTCATTTCTCTTTCAAAAAGGCGGTGTTTTTTTGTTGTTGTTGGCTTTTTTTTTTTTTTTTAAAGAAAAGTTCTTAAAACACTAACGGAAACCCATGGAGTTTGTCCTTTGTAAAAATTTTAAACACAGTGTCTTGATATAAAAATAAAAAATCCAGTTAGCACTCCCAACCTGCCTCCCTTGCACAGGCCTTGCCCCAACAGATCTCCCAGCAGGGCGCCCCTGCAGGCTGGGAATCCAGCCTGCCTCTGCATCCTGTGCCTTTAAGCTGAGACAAGTCTGGGCTACACTCCGCTGGGCCCCGCATGCAGGCCCGTCCAATCTTAAGCAGGTTGCTGTTCCCCCCCTTGCCCCCCTGCACAACGCTCTGGGTTCCTGTGGCTGAAGCCTTCTCTCAGCACCACAGGGCCTCTTAATGAAACGGCAAAAAATAACTCCTCCTCCTCCTCCTTCTCGCCCCGCCCCCACCGCAGCCAGCCGCTGCCTCCGCCCGCCCGCAAGCCACCTCTGCCGCCACCCCACCCACTGCTGCCACTATCACCATCACCACCATCCTGCCTCCATCCTGGACTGGGGGCTGGGAGGAGGTGTGACCTCTAACAGGCTGAAATTCTTTCTCATATCTGAATCCAGTGCGGCATCAGATACGCGGACCCCCTGGCCTCGGGGGACTGACAGAGCAGGGCCCCCTCTCCTCCCCAGGGATACTTGTTTCTGGTTCTGTGAATTACAGTCGGAGAACTCACTGGAGCCCTGGCACTGATTTCTCTCCAGGATTGCGATCAGGGGCTCGCCAGGGACTTGCCTGCCTGTCAACCCCCTGGGGGGGGGATTCAATGGGGGCTCCACAGGGTTAGCATTATAGGGGTTCACATCTTTCTCAGTGACTTGAAGGACCAGGCCCAGGATTCTCCTCATCAAGTGTGACAGTTGGACGGCCTTGCTGACACCTCAGAAACCAAGAATAGAATTCTTCAAAGTGACCCTGACAAAGTGAGGGAGATGAACCAACACAACAGGATGATGTTCAGATGGGATGAGCACAAGATAGTGCAAAGACCAAAACTGAGAACTAATATACTAATATGGTACGTGGGGACGAGAGAGTTGGCCAATGACTGGCTGGACACAGTTTGGTCAAAAAAGAAAAAAAGAAGTGGGGGGAGGGTGACAGGGTGGGTCACAAGTTGAATGAGTCCATAGTGTAGAAATGGTGTTCTCCCTCCTCCCTCCCTCCCTCCCTCCTCCTTCTTACTCTCCTCCTTCACTCTCTCCCTTTCTTCTTTCTTTTTTTTTAAGATTTTTTAAAAATTTATTTATTTGAGAGAGAGAGAGAGAGCACACGAGAGGGGGGAGGGTCAGAGGGAGAAGCAGACTCCCTGCTGAGCAGGGAGCCCGATGCGGGACTCGATCCCGGGACTCCAGGATCATGACTTGAGCCGAAGGCAGTTGCCCAACCAACTGAGCCACCCAGGCGCCCCCCTTTCTTCTTTCTAAAACTAACATGAATATTAGCATATAATAACAAAAATATAGCATAGAGTTGCTGGGAAGTAATCCGAGTCTGAGTTTTAGCATTAGAAGTAACCTCAAGGGCATGTATTCCAACCCACTTATTTTTTATAACCAGGGAAACGGGCCCAGAGAAGCCCAACATTTTCTTTTCTTTTTTTTTTAAGATTTTATTTATTTATTTGACAGAGAGAGACAGAGAGAGACAGCGAGAGAGGGAACACAAGCAGGGGGAGTGGGAGAGGGAAAAGGAGGCTTCCCGCGGAGCAGGGAGCCCGATGCGGGGCTCGATCCCAGGACCCTGGGATCACGACCTGAGTCGAAGGCAGCCACTTAACTGACTGAGCCACTCAGGCACCCCAAGCCCAACATTTTCTAACGCCCAGTTAGCATTAGAAACAGACCCAGGATGCTGTCCTATCGTATATGACATTTTCCTTGGTCCCTTTCTTTCTTTCTAAAGATTTTATTTATTTATTTGAGAGAGAGAATGAGAGAGCACAATTGAGGGGAGGGGCAGAGGGAGAGGGAGAAGCAGGCTTCCCGCTGAGCAGGGAGCCCGATGCGGGGCTTGATCCAAGGACCCCGGGATCATGACCTGAGCCGAAGGCAGATGCTTAACGACTGAGACACCCAGGCACCCCGGTCCATTTCTTTTCAGGCCTTGTCAAACATTCATGTGTTGGTCAACACATTTTCAGCATATGTGGGAAAGCTGGAGAGGGTCTGGAGTAGAGCAAAAACAATGTGCCAAAGGACTAGGTCTTTTTAAATTCTTATTATCATTATTATTTAAAAAGGAGGAAGCTGATAAGGTAACATTCAATAATTGTGGAGACCTACTGTGTGCCAAGTGTGTTATATCATCCTCAAAAATTTACCTCGTAAGCAAGGGCAGAGCTGATGATCTATTCTCCATTTCTTCTGAAAATGACAGAGGGGAAAAGACTAAATAAGACACGAGGAAAGATTTTGCTCCACACTCAGTAAGTCCTCAATAACCGTTGCCGAGTTGAGTACCTGGCTACTTAAGGAAAGCCCTGCTGTTCATCTTCCTGAAAACAGACCCGCTGGATTGCATGACATTTTCAGGTCGATTCAGAGTGTTGGTTGTTATGATCCTGTGATTGTTCCATCTCAGATATTACCAAACTGGGCCTCCTCTTCTGGGGTGTGTGTGTGCACCTCCGAATTAGGAGGTTCTCTATTTGGGGAGGATTTAGACATCGCCTCTCCTCTAGGAACGCAAAGGGCTGTAGCAAACCCAGATTTGAGGAGCCATCAATGAGAGATTACAGTCGGTCTTTCACACCTTTGAAAGGCCTAGGTGGGAAGAGGTAGCTTGCAAGACAGGCAATCTAACTGACAGCGGGTGGGGGGGGGCGGGTGGGGAGGAGGCGACTGGGTGGCTTAGTCAGATAAGCATCTGCCTTCGGCTCAGGTCATGATCCGAGAGTCCCAGGATCCAGCCCCCGCCCTGCCCCCGCCCCACGTTAGGCTCCCTGCTCAGCGGGGAGTCTACTTCTCCCTCTGCCCCTCCCCCTGCTCATGCTCTCTCTCTCTCTCTCTCTCTCACAAATAAATAATAAAATCATAAAAAAAATAATAATTTACAGTCCATCCTGTGCTCAGCTAGCTTGAGTGCTCTCAACCCCATTACAGCCTAGCCGCTCTGAGCCCCAGCTGAAAAGCCCCAGCTCCTTGTTTGAAGAGGGGCAGAGGAGACCCTTGGGTTTTCTTTCACACTGCAAAAATCATTCGTGCCTAGACTGGGTCCAGCCTGAGTCCCTAGATTTATCCGGTTTCTATCGTAGTCCTTTGGGGAGCTAGATGCAGCTATCTTGGGATCTTTGGGTGTGTGTGAAGGGCTGGAGGTTGGTCATTGTGGAAATCTCCATTGGAAATGAGTATGATGGTCAGGACTGCCGTCCTGGCCCTATGCTAGTTTATATACTATGAGGGATAGAAGACAGCCCCTTTGGGGTGCACACTGTCGGGAATACAAAACTGAACTATGTTGAAAAGGAACGAAGTGCAGAATCTAGCATGTGACTTCAAGTGTATGGTAAAGGTTAAAGAAGCTGGAGACATCGCGAGAAAGGCTACAGTGGAATTTGAGTGGGTGGCTGGTGGAGTGGGCATTTCAAATTGGGAGACAAGCTTCAGGCTGAGCACGGTGATGAGAGGGTCTCGGCATGCTCGAGGAGCAGCAAGGGGACTGACTTGACCAAAGCAGAGGGTTCAAGTTAAAGGGCGGGAGATCAAGATCAAGATTAAAGGGCAGGTTGTGGAGGTCTTCATGACAGACTCGGAGTGTTTACCACACATGTGATAGGACCACCCTGCCTTTTTCTTTTGCTAAATGGCTTGAGAGCGAGAAAATAAAACCCCCCTCAGCTGCTCTTTTGTTCCTTCTCCTCTGCAAGGAGAAGGATATTCAGAATAGAGAGGACAAAGTTGAGCACCACAGAGAGACTCCTAAAGGCAGTCCAAGCCAAGAGAGCCTTCAGCTGCTCTGAGTAACTCCATCTCAGGGTCTGGGTCTGTAACAGCCCCGGGGCATTGCAAGGACTTGCGGCTCAAGTTTG